GGCACCCTAGGTGGCCGTTTTGCTTTTCTTTCCCCTTCTTTGCTTAAATCTCATGACCTTTTCTCTAAATGGCCACAGCTGTCCCTGCCTCAGGACCTTTGCCCAATCTGTACCCTCTGCTAGGACCATCCTCTGGTCACACCTCTCACCAGGCTCGGGCCTCAGCTGTCTAAAGTCCCCTTTCCGGAAGCAGCTGCCGTCCCCACCGGGCTCCCTGAGCCCACCCTTCCACCCTCACATCCCTGACCACTGTGCGGGACAGGTCTGCCTCCCCCACTGGCCCAGAGCTCTGAGAAGGGCCAGCCCAGAGCTGTTTGCTGAGTAACTGGCTTCACAAGCGGCTCTTTTTCTGACCAGGAGGAGGAACTGAATGCCCCTCAGCTGCAGACCCTATTAAGCATTGCCATGGAGCCCGGTGAGTGGCTGGGGTGGTGGCCAGGAGCCTTGCAACCAGAGCCAGACGCCACCCCCTGTGTGTTAGTCCACAGTGCTGCTGGGCGTCAGGCCCAGGGAGTCATGGCAGGCCACAGGCCACGGCCACTCACAAGCTCCCCATCCTCTGAGAGGCAGGGCGTGTGGCTGCCTTGATCAGACCCAGGACCCTGTCTGGATTCAGCCTCCAGCTCTGTTGGTGACAGTGGTCCCTGGCTCCCTGGGCCCGAGTTTCCTTAAAATGGGGCTAACAATAATGCCTGCTTCGGGAGCTATGTCCCCAAAACCCTGGCGGCGATGGCCAACATGCAGATGCTGTGCTGTTGGCTTTTCCCCTGTAGCAAGGGCCCACACCCGAACCCCCGGAGAGATCGGACTCAGGACCTGTGAGCAGCTGCTACAGTGTTTTGGGGTACACGGGGCAGTGCCTGGGTCGGGGGAGGTTGGGATCTCTTCTCTCCTTCTGGGGAAATTGACCTTAACCAGATAACCCCCGCCCCCAGCACGGGCACAGCCTGGCCCTGCACCACTTCCAGCAGCTCTGGGGTCTCCTCCTGGCGTGGCAGGTGAGGTGGGGGCTGGGAGGTCTCCTACATCCTGCGGGAGAAGGGCCTTGTGGGCGGTCAGGGCCCAGGGAGCAAGGGAGAACTGGTCTCCTTAGGGGCACGAAATAGTGAGGGGGTTGGTTGGAGTCCCAGCTGGCTGTGTGACCTCAGGCAAGTCACCGCCCCTCCGAGATGCCTTTGCCTGCCCACCCGTGGGTGGCTCTAGATTTAAAAGGCCTCTCCGTGCTAAGAATGGTGATGAGGCTGCTGATGGAGTCTCCACCAAGCCCTTTGTGGGTAGAATCACACCTCGTCCTCATAGACCTGTGGCTTGCTACTGTTCCCTTTACAGATTGGGAAACAGGTCCAAAGTAGTTAGGCTGCTTGATGGGGACCCACAGCCAGAAGCAAGGGAGCTGGAATGGGCACCCGCACTGTAGCCCTCCTCAGGGGGCTGGGTCTCTGCCCAGGACCCCGGGCTGGAGCTGACTTATCCTCCTGCCCAGGCCATATTTGACAGGTTCGATGAGGATGCCTCTGGAACCATGAACTCCTACGAGCTGAGGCTGGCACTGAACGCAGCAGGTGTGGACAGGGGTCCTAGGGTGGCCGGGGAGACAGGGCCGTTCCCTCTCCTGTCCCGTTGTCTTAGTCTGCCTGTTCAGCTGTGACTGTTCACAAGGCCATGTCTTGTTTGTTGCCATTCCTGGCAGGGACTGGGTGACCCTGCAAGGCCAAATGGGGAAGGAATCCTGTGTGGGGTGAGGAGGAGGTGAGCGGGGGACAGGCCTGGTTGGTCGCTGGAGGAGGGAGAGGCCCTGGCCCCAGGGCAGCACAGTAGAGTGTTTCAGATGCAGTAAGCTTGGGTTGGAATCCTCTCTCTCTGGGGATGGCCTCAGCACCCATCTGTGCGGTAGTTAGGATTCCGGGAGGCAGGGAGGAGCCGGTGGAACGCCGTGCACGGCACTTAGTGACCCAAGAATGCAGCTTTCATGACCAAAAGGCCCAGAACACCCCAGAGAAAGCCCGCCAATGGTGTCTGGAGGCTGGGTTCTTCCTGGAGGGTGAGAGCAAGCCCAGGTCATAGTGTGGATGGAAGCACATCGGCCAAGACACCAGGCCAGAGAGAACGCTTTTTGTGGCTCCGATGCAAAGCAGAAAGTGCAGGAGTGTGACCCTCGGGTGGAGGGACTCGGAGGGCGGGCTGCCGTCAGACCTTGCCACTCCCAGGTCCCCAACCCCCGTAGGGAACCCGGGGAGATGGGAGGCTCGGGTGGCTGTGACCCTCTGCATCTGAGAGCCAGAGGGAGGGGCCTGGGTATGGCTGGGACACCCAGGGAGGGAGGCAGGACATCCGGGGATGTGCAAGAAAAGCCCAAGACACAATGGGACAGGTGGAGGCTGTGTTCACGCAGGTGCCATCCAAGTGCCTGATCCGAGCCAGGGGCGATGCTGGGCAGAATGCAGACGAGAGCTCTCGAGAATTGCCCACACGGGAATTCCAGCCGGGCAGCTGAGAAGCCTTTGGCCTTTCTCTGGTGCTGCCCGCCATCTGGCCATGGCCAGGCTTCCCACAGCCCTAGGCGCTGCATTCCTCACCCCAATAGCTGAGGGCAGATGAAGCTCAGACCCCTGGTGGTTACACAGCAGCGAAAAGGTCATAGGCTCTTCATAGGTTTCCTGCTAAACCACACCCAGCCCTGAGCACAGCACAAATGGCACTATTTTTTAAATGAATGAGTGCACAGAATGGGGTGAAGATGGGTCTTAGGAGCAACAGCATCTCACAAAATTGTCCTCAAAACTGTGTTGATCTGGCCACATGGAGGACAGAGGAGAGGGGGGCACCAGGCAACCTTGAGTCTCAGGAGGCAAGAACCACTATTTTGGGCTTTTAAGAGCCTTTTTGGGGGCTCCACGACAATTTTTTTCTATTTTTTCTATTTTTAAAAATGTCTTGTTTGAGTCAAGAGTTTCACTGTTGCCCAGACTGGAGTGCAGTGGCCACTCCCGGCCACCGCAGCCTCGACCTGCTGGGCTCTGGCAATCCTTCTGCTTCAGCCTTCCAAGTAGCTGGAACTACAGGCAGGTGACACCGCACCCAGCTAATTTTATTTTATTTTATTTTAATTGTAGAGATGAGGTCTCACCAAGTTGCCCAGGCTGGTCTCAAGCCCGTGGACTCAGGCAATCCTCTCACCTCGGCCTCCCAAAGTGCTGGGATTATAGGCATAAGCCACTGTCCGGGCCTCTTTTTTTCTATTTTAAAGACAGGTTCTTGTTCCGTTACCCAGATTGGAGTGCAGTGGTGCAATCATAGCTTACTGCAACTTTGAACTCCTGGGCTCGAGTGATCCTCCCACCTCAGCCTCCCAAGTGGCTGGGACTACAGCAGTGCCATCACGCCCAGCTAGTTTTTTTCATTTTTGTAGAATTGGGGTCTCACTGTGTTGCTCAGGCTGGTCTCAAACTCCTGGCCTCAAGCAATCCTCTCCCCTCTGCCTCACAAATTGCTGGGATTACAAGCATAAGCCACTGCGCCTGCCCAGCAGAGGTAATCCTAAACTTCAGAAATCACCTCTGATGTGTGGAATTAAGAAACTGACTTTGCTCACAGAAATACTCTCCAGTGTCCATCAGCAGGGAGAAAGTCCTGCAGGACTTAAAGGGATAATAACACTGGCACGTGGTTGCCAGGTGCCACTGTGCAAAGGCCTCCATGTTGACAACCTGCTTAATCTTCACAACCCTTTGGGCTAACTGTTGTATGCCCCACTTTATGGGTAGGGAAACTGGGGCCCTGAGAAGGGAAGGGTCACACAGCTGGGAGGAGCAGAGTTGGGACGTAAGGCCCGCATAGCAGCACCTTCCCTGGGGAGTCAGGGTGGCAGGCTCACAGGGCAGCGGGGCTCAGAGGCGGTCTGTCTCCAGGTTTCCACCTGAATAACCAGCTGACCCAGGCCCTTACCAGCCGCTACCGGGACAGCCGTCTGCGTGTGGACTTTGAGCGCTTTGTGTCCTGTGCGGCCCAGCTCACCTGCATCTTCCGTGAGTGCCACCCTGGCATACTGGGGCACAGAGAGGGTCTAGGGGTGGTGGGTGCTCACCCTGCCCCTCTCTGCACAGGCCACTGCAGCCAGCACCTAGATGGGGGTGAGGGGATCATCTGCCTAACCCGCAGACAGGTGAGCCAGGGCCAGAGGGCTGGGGGCTCAGGTGCAATCCTGGGAGCCCCCTGCCTCCAGCCTGTGCCTTCCTTCTCTTGCCCAGTGGACAGAGGTGGCCACCTTCTCCTAGGACCTCAGCCCGGACACCGACGGCTCGGGGCGGGGTAGAGCAAGAGCTCCTGCTTCCAGCCCCGCTCCTCTCTGCTTGGCCAGCTGGGTGCAGCTCTCTGCACCGCGCTGTCTTTCCCTGGAAACAGGGAGGGCAGGAGCACCTTTCCTAAGCAGAGTGCGAGTGTGTGGCCACTCTACCCACTCAGAACCATGCTGGACCCAGAGGGGCTTCTGGCACCCTTTGCTGTTTACACATGCACGGGGTGAGCCTCTTGCTCTGGGAAGATGTGCTCTGCCATTGCTCTCCTAGGAAATGGAGGACACCGACAGGAGAGAGAAAAAGAGAGGACGCTGCGGAAATCCTTCTTAAAAATATTACATGTTTTATTATCCTGTCCCCCAAAGGGTGGTTTATCCAGAAACCGAGAAAAAAATAATCAGAATAAAACTCAAAAAGGGGGCAGGGGGCAAAACCATCAACTACCAGGCAGCCAGGCCAGCAGCCCACCTCCACCTCAGGAGGGTCCCCAGAGACCCAAGCCCGCCACGGACCCACTGGGGAGTCAGGAGGGGGCAAATCAGCTATGACTTCATTACGAGAGCGAGAGGCGGCAGACGCGTTGCTAGGTGAATATATATTTATATAATAAATCCGTAAGTTAATAAAGTAAATAGTAATTCTCTGAGAGTTTAATTTTTATAGGTTTTTTGTGGATTTTTTTGTTTTGTTTTTTTCCTTTTCCTTCGCTTTTTTTTTTTGTTTTTTTGTTTTTTTGGTCCTTAGGAAATCTGAGACACAAGTCCAGACCAAGCAAGGCCGGGGCTGGCTGGGGTGGGGGGGGCGGGTGGCCAGAGGTCCGGTCTGCCAGCCCCGGTCCCCTGCTGCACAAGGAGGGGTGCTAGGCTGAGAAGGGCTAGAGAGCTGGGGGCAGGGTCCCGTCCTGCTGGGTAGCTATGGTGCCCTCTGCTGGGCCCTCGCAGGGCCCTGCGGTTCCTAGACAAGGCACGTGGGGCTTTGGCCTGGATGTGGGAGGCCTTGAAGGGACCTCGGGAGGCAAAGGAAGGGACCTGGGTGTGGAGGGCTGTCCCCAGGATGTGGCGGGGACCTGTTTTGCTGTGGGGATTCACTGTCCCCGCCACATAAGTTTGAGAAACACAACACATCAGATATCTACCAGACCAGAGGTGCTGACCTCAAAGGTCCCCCTGACCCCTACCCGGTGGGGGGGAGAACCTCCTGGCCCACCAGCAGAGAGAGAGGAGAGAGCCGGCCCAGCCCCTCCCTGCCCACCCCCCACCCCCCAGAAGGACTGACAGAGTGCTTTGCATAGATACAGAGTCAGAGGAGCCAGGACTGTGGAGGCCACGCTGAGGGGAGGGTGAGGCTGTCCAGCCCCTCCTGGGGGCCACGAGGAGGGATGTTTGGTCCCAGCCCCTGGGGGGCCTCACAGGTCACTCTCGCCATACAGGGCTGTGGAGAAGGACTTGTAGTCGAGGGCACCGGGCACAGTATCAGGACCCTGATACGGCGCCATGCGGGCGATGCAGTACTCGGCCTGGTCGGGGGGCAGCTCCCTCCGCAGCTCCTCGGCGGTGATGAAGTTCTGCAGGCAGCAGGGCAGAGACTGAGCCCCCCGCCCACATGCCGGTCCCCTGCCCCCATGCCCAGGGCGGGCCCCTAAAGGCCCCGAGGCTTCAGAAGGCTCGTCCTCACCTTGTCCCCTGCCAGGACCTTGAAGGAGGCGATGACCTGGTCGGCCGTGTCTGTGTCTGTGGTCTCCCGTGACATAAAGTCGATGAAGGCTTGGAAGGTCACAAGGCCGCTGTGGTTGGGGTCGACCACGCTCATGATGCGGTTGAACTCGGCGTCGCCCTGTGAGGTGGGGGGTGGGCAGGGGACATGGCACTTAATGGGGTGGGGGAGACAAGGCCGGTGCTGATGAGGCCTCATGGGAAACAGCCAGGACAGGGGGCTGACCCCGTGCCCATGTCCCATGTGTGCCACCAGCCTGCCACCAGAGGCCCTGGTCCAGGCAGAGCCCCCCCCGGGCTGGGGAGCAGGTCCCCTCTGTGTCCTCCCCTCCCAGTTTTGGGCAGTGGGGAGCTGGGGTCTACAGCCCCTCAGCCCAGGCTCACAAGTTAGCTCTGGAGGGTGGGGAAGAAAGAGAGAAATAGAAAGAAAACGGCGAGAGCACGGGAGGGCTACCCCCTCTCTCTGGAGACTTCTAGGGAAGGAAGGGGGCTCAGAGAGTCATCGGAGGGACCCCAGCCCAGCAGGTGCAGCAGAGAAGAGGCGGCAAGGCTGTGCTACTCGCTACTTGGGCGGAGGAGTATCCCCGAGGACAAGGAAGCGCCAGAGACTGTGAGGAGGGAGGGTGGGGAGGAGTTGTTGGAGCGGCCCAGAGGGGAGGCAGAGGCTGCATACCAGGCTGTATCCTGTGGAGATAAGCAGAGCCCTGAAGTCATCGCAGTCCATGCTGCCTGTCTGCTTCTGCTCCGAGGACGCAGGCATAGCAGAGGAGGCCGGGCCCAGAGTAGGCAAGAGGGGCCGCCCCATGTGCACAGCAGGCAGACAGGGCAGTGGCGAGGAGCAGGGGAGACAGGCCCCGAGAGACCAGGTAAGGAGGAAGGTGTCCGGAGAGACACGGGAGAGGGAGGCGAGAGAGCCATGAGATGGCACACAGGATGGCGGGGGTGGAATGGGGGGTGGGGAAGAGAGAGGAGAGAGAGAAAGAGAAAAGCAGTTAATGCGTGGTCGCCGGGCCCGG